TGCCTAGCAGGCTACTAGCTTTTACAACACTTAAAGAGTCCCCTAAGAAACAGCTCACTTTAGAGCAGTAAATAAATCCTATTCAGCTCTGCTTCCCCCAAATCAGCTGAAAGCTACTTGGCAAATGGCAGAAACCACAAAGCAAAGGGAACATTTGCTGCAACAACGACAGAAAGAAAAGCAACCTACCTCCATTCTGAACTAGATGCCCAGAATTAACACTTGGGAGAATTGCTTCAGAATTTCCACAGTGAGGCAGGTCTAATGTTGGGGTTCTGCACTCCCCAAAACATCATTTGCCCCTGCCCCTCTGGACCCTTCCTTGGATTTATTTTGCTAGCTACGAAAGCACCATTTCCACTTGCTAAGGAATTAAGCCTGCAAGCGGCACATAAGGAGATTCATTAATGCATTAAGACAGGCGTGATTTGATTGGCTCCTTTTTTTAGGCATTTGGCACATGGGATGCAAACAGATCTGTGGGACCTGGGTGTCAGGGGAGACCAGGCGACCTGCCAACATGCTAGCTTTAAAAAGGAGAAAGAAAGTCAGCACCAGTTCCTGAGTGTTAAAGAATTTTCAGTCAAAAGGCAGATCACTGATGCCCATAAAACCAACAAGCAGAAACTCCCCCCCCCCCGCCTTTTCCATGGGAAAACAACATTAGTGCCTCTGTACCACTGAAAATGAATTCCTTCCTAGCATTCTTAATTTCCTCCTCACCTTCTGGGGTGCTTTTTAACCAATACTGGCCAGTATTGATGGAAAGTAAAAAGAAACATTATCAACTGCACATGGAACAGCAGTTTTGATGAGACATTGTGATAGGAAATTGGGGTCTGCTTTCCTTCCTGTCCTGCACAACCCTTGGACAGCTAGAGTAAATGCACATCCACGTTATAGAAAGAAGAAGCAAGACACAGCACACACTGAAGGGGAGGGGAAAGCAATCTGATTCGGGAGGAAATTCTTTTTCCATCAGTTCTTGATTTAATAATCGTGGAAGGGACCCTTCCAACTGTACAATTCTATGTACTGTACACATCTCTGAATTTTGCAATGCAGTTCTCCTCCCAAGTAATGGGTTAAAAAAAATGCACATAGTGCAGTAAAGTATCCCTAAAAATGCATATATTCATGAAAATAACATACACAGATGCACTATTTTAGGGGAGATTGCTTTATATTAGGCAAAACTGAATGTAAGCACGTACACTGGGAGAAATTCATACAAAAATGTTGATGAATATTCATGTGGAACACACACACACTTATAGTCAAATGCAAACTGAGGCGGAAATGTGAGTAACTGCACTCATTAATGGGAAAAAGAGAAACCAAAATTGACAGATTTGCCCATTTGAATCATACAAAAGATTGACACTCAAAGCATTTTGGGGATGGGGGGTGGGGCAGAGAAAACAATCCCGATGCTTGGCCATTATTCTTGCACACAAAAATGGAATACATGATGGCTGGCCTTAGTGGGAAAGATTCCTGGCACAGCCAATTAAAAGTTTTAGCTGCTGCAGTCCCATCCTTTGACAAATCTCTACCTAAATTTCCACTTGCTGATCTCGCAGTTACTCCTGGCCTTGTAATCAATAACATTTAATTCCACCAGGCTTCATAAACAATGCTGACAAGTAATAGCAGGAGCAGCTCCAAGATCAGATAAACACCCCAAACACAGACGTGGGTAGATATACATTCCAGCTGCAGCGGCAATCAGTAATACACCTCGAGGCCCAACAGTATATAACCAGGAATTAGACAGGGAGGTCTCCACAAATCATTACATTCCCAGAGCTGTAAAACATTAGATGTCAGGGCAGAGACTAGTCAAGGACTAATTGGAAAGGAAAGAAGGACTACAAACCTCTTTCTAGGGATGCTTCACACAGCGCCAGGGCTGGCCCTACCATTAGGCAGAGTGAGGCAGCTGTCTCAGGTAGCAGATGCTGGAGGTGGCAATAGCGTGTCAACACTGCCCCTATTCCCCCTGAGCCCCCCAAGCTAGCCTGTTCTGCATCTCCTGCCCTCATTTGCTGCCCTCAGGTACAGTGGAGGATGTTTTCCCATCATCAGCACTAAAGCGGAGTCAACTGCCCACCTGGTCAGATTTTGTATGTGGACTGTGAGGGCACCATCTTGTCCTTCACCTCAGGCAGCAAAATGCCAAGGGCTGGCCTGGAAAACCAAGTAACTATCTACAAGCAAAGCATTCTGTGTAGAAATTTACACACGGGCAGCTCATAGAGTTTAAATCACAATGTGGTTGGGAGATTACATGGTTTTTCTAGAACCCATATGTGAGGTATCATTTTTCTTCTCCTTCCTATACGGAAGTGCTTTTTCTTCTTTTGCTCATGAAGAACTATTCTGACACTTTTAGCTCCCTCAAATACTAATAAGTCAGTGGAACAGGCACAGTGAGTCACGTATCATACTTTAAAAGTAGGACCGAGCCTGTATTCCTCAGGAGAGGGTTTTTTTCAGGGGGCGGGAATCAGATAATTTTATTCAGCTCACCCTTGTCTAGTAATGAGAGCCATTTTGCTGAATATTCTCCTTCTCCTTTTTTGTTTGGCTGCTGCCATTTTTTACCCACAATACCTCATAATGACACTAATTCCAGGGCATTGGGGAGAATGCAAAATCCTGCCACAGTTTCAGCCGCCACCACAGACAATACAAAGAGTAGCAGCAATAAAACCAAAACAAAATAGCCAACCACAAAAAAATAGAAAACTCTCTGAGGGGGAAAAAAGCAACAAGCTGTGCTGTTTCTGCTGCCAGTATTCATGTTAATCCCCATCTCCAAGAAACTGCTGAAGAAATTCTCCTCCTTCTGGATAATATTTGGCAAAATGAGACACAAAAAGCCTCCTTTTTCTGCCCCTAAATAAGAGGAAGAATTTGGGGCTCTCATTTTCATTCGGCTTTATTGTAAATTCATTTCCTGTGTGAGAAGAGTTTACGTTGCTTAAAGTGACAGATGTGTTAGCCCTATTCAGGTTTTCATTTTCTGGGTTTCCACAATGGGTGGAAAGACCGAACCTGTTCACAGAAGATGACAGGAGATGGATAATGGAAACAAAGGAGCATAGGTTTCTATAAAGGGGGTGGGGGGGAGCAACCATGAGGGGGCATTTACAGAGGAAACACAGTGGGGAGAGCTGTACATGTAAATGGCAAAACTGCTCAGGAGATGAAAAGCAGGTTCATTTCCTGTCCATTCTGCCAAGCTTTCCCGCTCTTACCGACACAAATAGCTCAATTCATCAAATACATCCTGATTGTTCAAATAAGTGTCAGGTGACTGTGAAAATGTCTATGGCTTGAGAACAATGATGGTGTATATTTGGGAACTAGCCGATTATCAGGAAATGAAACCCAATAAATGTTCTAACATACAGAGATGGTGGAGTGGGCATTGCGGAAGGGGAACTTAAATCTATTAAGGCCTCATCTGCACTGTTTGTTAAGGGTGCCGAGTGTTGTTGGGAACCACCTATTCCCTTCATAGAGCTACTGTTCACGATCAATCCTTGATCCCATAGAGCTCTGGGAATTGTAGTTCTGTGAGGGCAATACAGGTTCCCCTGTCAACTCTCAACACCTCTTAACAGACTACGGATCCCAGGATTCTTTGGGGGAAATCCACGGCTGTTAAAGTGGTATGATACCAACAGGACTGGGAAGCAGCAGCCAAACCATCATTTTGAGGTGCAGTCTGGATACCCTGTCCCTCCAACATGACTGGGCTGTCCCTCCAACATGACTCTGTGGACCCATCAGCTGTGCCGGTCCACAGACCCGCGCTGTCCCTCCAGCGCTCATGAGTGGAGGAATGGCACGGGTCCATGGATTGGCACAGCTGAAGGGCAGAGAAGGTTCTTCCCACCCATCAGCTGAGCTGATACTGGCGAGTCCCCCATTTTACGCGCTTTTGTATATGCATGTGGGGGTAAGAAACGTATCCCCCGTGTAAACGGGGAGTCAACTGTATATAAATATCCATATAAATGAATGAACAAAATGCTACTACAGTGGTACCTCGGGTTAAGTGCTTAATTTGTTCTGGAGGTCCGTTCTTAACCTGAGGTACCATTTAGCTAATGAGGCCTCCCACTGCTGCCACGCTGCCGCCACACAATTTCTGTTCTCATCCTGAAGCAAAGTTCTTAACCCGAGGTACTATTTCTGGGTTAGCGGAGTCTTTAACCTGAAGCATCTGTAACCTGAAGCGTCTGTGACCCGAGGTACCACTGTACTATTTAATTACTATTGGGAAGTGTGCATTGTCCTAGAGATAGCTACATCTGTCACTTGGTAGCATGGTCGTCCCTCCTCACCCCTTAGCACATGAACTACAAGTGAAAGTAAAACTTTACTTCAAGTAATACCATAGTCTTGCCAGTGAATTGTCTTGCTACACTGTAGGTTATTAACCATTAACTATTAAAGCTTCTTTCAAGGGCTCAAGGTGGGGGGAGGGTAGCATGAATAGGTTTTTCCTGTTTTCTCCCTTACTCTCACTCAACACTGATATACATATATTTCCTATGATTTTTAGAGAAATACGTGAAGGGTACTCAGCAAGTATTTTCAAATGTAAAGATTTAAACAAATCCAAGCTTTCCACGTGCCCTAGAGGCGACAGAATACACAGGATGACTATTGGATATGAAACAAGCACAGCTTAAGGGAACATTCCTCCTAAAAAACATCCTGTGTTGCAGAGAAAGTTCTGAAGCTAAGAGCCAGAGCATAGATTGATTCCTATGGGTTCTGGCAAGCACCCTAAGTCAGTTGAAGAAAAGCCCGTTCACTTGTGGTGTTAGGATGAGGAAGAGAGAAGAGGGTCTGTTAGCAGGTAAGAGGGTGAGATAGTCCCTTGGGAATACTCAACTCCAATTCAGAAAAATAGCTCAGAGCAACAAGTTCACTTAAGCAAGTTACCGAGTGTGTGTGTCTAACATTTCAAGCGAACTTACCTCAATCAAAATTAAAAAGTGGCACTAGACGTCTTGTCCAAATGGATGTGAGAGGCTCTTCATCTTCAACTCATTGATGTGGGCATGAAAGAGATTCTTGTTGATCCCAGTCTCTCGCAGCAACTGTTGCCATGGTTATAAATCATTTCTTTTTGCCCCCCAATGGTCAGCGACAGAATATAAAGAATGGGCTTACTAGGTAGGAGCAAATCCAGTGTGCGTAGACTGGTTCCTCTCTCAGAAGTGTGATACCAGCCAGCAATAGATGCTGTCAGTTTCATTGCCTGCACTTCAGAAAGCCAGGTTAAAGAGAGAAATCTCTGGATGAGACCCAGATAATAAAGAGAGTTTTTAAAGTCACAAGCAGAGAGATTAAAACAGAGCAACCTTTCCACGTTCATGTACAAATGAAAATGGGGTGGGTTTTTTCTTTTTCTGAGCAAAGGAAGGGGTGGGAAGCATCAATGCCATTCTGTATGAAGTGCGGAATAGATTGTTTAGCTACCAATATGTGAATTGGGCAGCTGCGTGATCAGCAGGATAAATTCACACCTTTCTTTCTTTCTTTCTTTCTTTCTTTTTATTTTTATTTTATTATTATTATTATTATTATTATTATTATTATTATTATTATTATCTTACCAGGTTTCCATGGTGGATTAAAACAAAATAAAATGCAGTATATTATCAATTTAAAAATGCACAATCAGAAGCATTGGTACAATGCAATTTGGGATATAGCACTTTCTGAAAAACAGATGCAAAATTTTCAGTTACCAAGAAAAAAATTCAATTACCCCATCAGCCAAACATACTGCCTCCCTTGCATCTCTTATATGGTCATTGCAACTAATGGCTTATAGTAAGAGAGAGGGGGAGAGTATAGGATATATGTAGAGGCATCATAGCAAGGACAGAGGTGGAAGAGAAGCAAAGTACTGTCTATGGACCCCCTGGTCCCAGAAAGCTGTGATCTGGAGCTCAGCCAGAGCATATGTGTTCAGTGCTCAATTGTGTTTTTTCTTCTACTGAGAGGTTTTGGGAAGACTAAATTAAGCAATACATATTTTCATATTTTGAAACCTTTTTTTAAAAAAAAAATACACTTTTGTGACTCTGATTTCTTTAAAAAAACAAACATCTGGAAATTATGGTAAGACAAACATGACCAAAAGGATTGGAAGAATGCACATTGACATTTCCAAGCACTTTGTCAGGGAAAGAAAGGAGAGATTCTCAGGGTGTCCATTATTAGGTTTTATATTTGCATAATGTGAAGCTAATACAGAGAAGAAAATATTGTTTCTAGAACAGAATGCCATTGAAGCAAAGTTCCAGTAAATGAAACATTTAATTATTATTTTTTAAAGTTTCTAGATCTAATGTTTCATACAAACTTTTAAAATGTGTACTTTCTGGTAGTGATTTAGACATCAGAGCAGATCTAGCCTGGCCTTTCTGTACTCCGAGGGTGTATTGTTTATCCTCCTGATTCTTACTCGTTTGCTATCTACCCCAATGCTACCAGACTCTACGCCACCCTTTATCTTACAGTGGATGGATGGGCAAGTGGACAGGCAGATGTGGGGCAGGTTTGAGAGATATTAACTTGCCACGTCCCCCCTTCCTAAAAAGAGTTCAGTTGTGCAAGGGCACCAGACACATCTCAATGTGAATTGCAAATATTTGGGATAATTCGCAGAGAATTGTAAAGCTTCAGCTCAAGCGAACGGTTTTCCCTAGGAAAAGGCAACACTGCTCTGTTTAAGAATATGACTGCTCACGCTGCTTGCTGTTTAAGCAAAAGCAGTTCTGTGTGGCCTCAGCTCATAAGTTTAGAAGACCTGTGAAAAGTTTCCATATCTGACCACAGATTCCACTGCACCAGCAATCTCCCATGAGGTCCAGCTATGCACACCCCCAGGAGTCTTGTTTGTATTACTGGTGTGAAGAGCAGCACTGGGGAATTAGGCAGTTGCATGAAGTACCATGTCTATTCAGATGCTGGGAATAGAAGCCAAAGCTTGTTACCCAGGCTACTCTCTACGTTTTTGTTTGTTCGGTGGCTTTGTTGGGTGTGGAAGGAGAAAAGTTTTGGAACCGTTAAGAGCAGGTGAGATCTAAACCACGGAAGAAATTAAATTACCTGTGAAAAGACTAGATATAATTAAGGTTCTTCCACCCACAGCTACCACATGTATTGGTTAACTGAACAGAACACGTAACAAAAACTGCAGACATCCCTGCAAAAGATTTAAAAATTGCCTAATGGGTGAAATTATTGCAACAAATATCAGGGCTGCCACAATTAAATGCTGCCACAAGAAAACTGGTTTGTCAGCTATAGCCTCAGTCGCTTCCAAGTTGATCTAATGGTAATTTCTGTATGCTAAAGAGGCTTTTTGGTGCTCTCCCCTGCAGTAAGTTCCTGATGGAAGTTGAAGCCCATCAATTTCTGGAGGGCCACAGGTTCCCATCCCTGAGCTGAGTTTTGTGCATTGCATTCACCAGTGCTTCCAGCGAAGAGACAGGACAGCCTTCATCCCAAAATAACTGGAGGGAAGAGATCTTGTTGTTGTTGTTGTTGTTTAGTGACCCCATGGACCACAGCACGCCAGGCATTCCTGTCTTCCACTGCCTCCCGCAGTTCGGTCAAACTCATGTTGGTAGCTTCGAGAACACTGTCCAACCATCTCGTCCTCTGTCGCCCCCTTCTCCTTGTGCCCTCCATCTTTCCCAACATCAGGGTCTTTTCCAGGGAGTCTTCTCTTCTCATGAGGTGGCCAAAGTATTGGAGCCTCAGCTTCACGATCTGTCCTTCCAGTGAGCACTCAGGGCTGATTTCCTTAAGAATGGATAGGTCTGATCTTCTTGCAGTCCATGGGACTCTCAAGAGATCTTACTGATCCACATTTCAGGCTAAACTGCCCATTAGCCACATAAGACGTGGTAAGAGATTTTTTTTTCCACTTCAATTTACTACCCTGCTCTTCTATACGTGGCTAGCAATTTGCATTTGTAAACATTAGGGGGAAGCAGTAACAGATAAACACATTTAGCAATAGATGTTAGTCCTCTAAATTACCACTGCAACAGGATAAATGCCTGCCAGACAGTGTGTTGAGTACATGAGAGAAGGCCAAGAATGAAGGTGCCAAACAGCCCTCCCTCCCTAGGCAAGGAGTTTCATAATCTTGGGTGCTCAGATGCCCTGGTCTGCTCCTCTTCTAATGCCAGTTTTGGACTGGTGCCCTCAATGAATGAACATTGTATGGTACTAGTAGAGGTACAAGGTCTACACAGCAAGCCTTTGGATGGTGGTGGAATTCTTCCAGGCTGATACTAATGTTAACAAATCAGAACTTCCAAGTGATAGAGCTTAACCACTTAACCACTGGCTTCCAGCATAGAGAGCCTATCGGTTTCTCCCATGGGCTTTGCACTTTGCAGAAGGTAACCAGAAGTGGAAATAGAAGACAAAGCTCTAATTCAAATGTTAAAAAGCAAGTCTTTCCAAAGTACACCACAGTACCTTGCAATCACTTCTGACCAGAAACTTCCCACCATTCTGTGGCACTAATCTGACACCCACTGGCCATCTTTGGAACTAGATTTCTAGCAGAACAAGAAACTTTGGCACCGAACTCAAAATTATGTGGGGTTTGCCAGGGATAAATGAAGTTTTCTTGGACATCAAAACACAGCAGTAAACAAACTGTGATAGATTTAAACTAAGTTTGAGGAAGCAATGAAATAAAAATGCTAGATCTTTTGACAATCACACAGGCATCTAGTTAGCCACTGGGAGAACAGCTTGCTAGACTTGATAGGCCATGGACCTGATCCAGCAGGCTCTTGTGTTATTTAGATTAAGAATAAACAAGTAAACAGTAAGGAAACAGTGTGTCATGCAGTATGTTTTAAAAAATAAGCAGGTTTATTGTGCCATCAGAAAAATTGCGATGCCTGGGGATTGTACCTAGGTCTTGCCCCAATGGTTTCTGTTCTGCCCCCTCAAGTGCTTTTGCCTGGCTGGAATTTGCCCTTCAGATGGGGTAGCACCTCTTGGTCAGAATGATTAAGACGTGTGCGAATAACTCAAACACTTTTAAAATCACAATACAGTGGTAGAGGATGGGCTAAATTAGCTTCTACAAAAGCGTCCATGACATATTTGAAAGGAATTGCCATCAACGTTTTGTATTGTGAACCATTACAGATGAAGGGCAGTATACAAATTTAATAACATCATTTCAATGTGGTCCAGAAACTGCTTCCATGATTTCCTCAATCACTTGGTTGTTCATATACAGATATGGGACCCAGTAATGCATTGGACTAAGAAACAAGGGAAGTTCCTGTTTTGTCCCCCCCCCCCCCGAATACTTCCACATGACATTACCATTTCATAGCAACTCTGGAATATTGCAGTCCTCAAACCACTTTTTTGCCTGTTGCCAAAACTGTGTCATTTGCCAAAAGATCCATAATGGTTGTGCAATACTTTCATTATGTGGAAAGCGCTGTTATCTGTGGTAGTGGTGGCTTGGGCAATTGCTATTTTGCAACTTTTTTCTTTCGTTTTTGACAGGTGGCCTTCTCACTGCAGTTTTTAAAATGGCAGGTAGTTCAGACTGACACAGTGAACACATATAGTGCCTGACACCTATTCTCCTAAACTCCCTTGGAGTCAGAATTCTGTTATATAATATTAAATTAATTTTGAGGTAAAAGGAGTGTGCTGTAATGAATCTTTAAAAAAATATAATAGACCTCCCACCAAAATTGAAGTAACAAAGCAAGGCACATGTAAATACTTGGACTGAGTTGCTTACATTTATAGAATAAACTTAATGTAATAAGAATGTTTAAATTCTTGATATGGAAATACAGACTATAGTAATTGTTGTGGGACAGTATTTGTTTTAGCTATGTCTGCCTCTCTAAAACTTTTAATACAACCCATATACTTAAAAAGAGGTGATACTTGAGATTGCCAATAATTCACATTATTGTTGTGAACTGCCCTGAGATCCGTGAAGGGCAGTATGCAAATTTAATAAATAATGAACAATTAGCTGCAGAACTTACTGAGCATCCCACCCCTGCAAGAACCTTCATAAAAAGGAGTCTCTGTAAAAGTAATTTCAAACCTAAGAGTGAAGACTAGTGGAAGAA